ACTTCGCCCGGAAAATGTATACAACTTTTGTATACATAAACAATTTTTTTTTTTTGTTGGCAAACACAGTTAAGCAAATATGGCAGAATTTTAATAAGACACCAAGGGAAGCTTGAGGCACTTTCAATTTGTTTTGAACGACAGAAACGCGAACTCCCTTCCGCTGGAGCCACAAGGCGCACGGCACATGGGACAATTTCCCACTCGGTGACGCATTCTTGAGGGCAACGTAATATTTTCTGTTGAGTGGAAAATTAAACACAAGCATACCATGGCGACGAAAAGACTAAAATATCATATTGCAGCTTGACTGTAATAAGATTACTTCTGAGATTGAAATCCGCCAGCAACTCGAATTTCAGCAATCGGCTTAAAAGTTGTCAGAGAAAGTTTGGATTTCGACAGATTTATCCTGAGCGTTGCGGTATATTTGCTCGCACACAAAAACTACCACGAGAAATGCAATCATTAAAGTTTAATGAACTGTGCAAAATGCTCACCTAATTGGATATAAAACTTGCCCGACTTCTGTTTTCTTTTTCCGGCAAATGCAGCTGGAATTGACTGTGGTGCGCATTGAACTGCAATATAAAATTTAGTGGCTATATCTAGTTATGGCAATTCTTTTTATGTCCATATTTTATGGCCGCGCGGTCTCAGGGGCCTTGGAAAAAATATTCAATTGCGATGGAAGGAATGCGCAAAACTGTCAATCATTGTCAGTTTTCTTCTTTATTTTTCCGCCGTAACACATGGCGTATGAATGATTTGCAGAGTAGGTGAGTAGATATGAATAATGAAATGAAAGCAAGTGTTGCAAATGACATTCCAGCGAACTTTTAGTAGTGCTAAAGCTAGTGAGCTTTAGAAGTATAAAAAAAAAAACATAGAGAATAAATAATGAAGAGAGATCCTTAGGACACCGACCAAAGCTCACTCGTATATCAAATTTATGGGTCGCAAAATAACTTTATCCGCCGAAGCGTAAACGTGTGAAAAATCGGCAACAACGAAAACAAATCAAATCGAGGCCCAAGTACAGGGCATTACAAAAGCCGACCGAAATAATTCATTTCCCTGGCCCAGTGTTTGCTATTCTATTTGCCGAGGTGCACGCAAGATAAATGTGGCGCGGCAAATAATAAAATATTTATACAAAATCCAACAATCTCGGTTTGCCGAGAGAGAGAGAGACGTAAATAAACGTTTTAGTTTGGGGCTTTTTTCGGCTGCTGTTCCAAACAATTGACTGATGGACATTTGATGAAAGGATCACATCACGTATACGCCCTGGGGACGTGCCAAAATTGAAACTTTCGCTAGAACCTTTGGCGGGTCAACAAATGTGACACTTTCCAAGATTTATTCTGTAAATGGCCGTTGGATTTCATTTGGTTTTTGGTAGAAATTTTTTTTTGTTCTTTTCGGCAGTCTTAGCAATTGTAAGAAAAGACGTGTTAGTGTGGTTGTTTAAATCATTGAAAAAACTCTTATCGAAAGCGAATTTGGTGTTTGTTTATTGCTAGTGTTGAGTATAAAACCTATTCCTTGGTTATTCCTGACTTGGTAGCTGTATAGTTTTTTATATGGTTTTTCCACTTTCCTTGAGGTTTCGGCAAGCTCACGTTTCTATGAGGAAATCTTGAAGGAAGTTGTAACAAGTCAATAACATTGTTCATCGTTGTTGTCTCAGTAACTCACAAAGAGATTGCTCCTTCATTTACATATATCGTAAATCCCTTCGAGTAGCTCAGTCAGTAGATGCAATAAAGCTGCACTGTGGTCATCTACAGATTCGGCATAGGGCGCCTGGAGGAGGCTCATTTATACTTTCACATACCCACAAAAACACTTTGAGCTTGCCAAATGTCCATCGGTCGAAAAAGGGCTACTATGTTGTTGCAATCAAAATTCGCATTTGACGACTGTCGCTTGACTTAAGTCAAAATCGGTGCCCCCCTTAGCTCTATTCCCAAAATGTATTCCCAAAAAGTCGATTGCATTTTGAGTTCAGCCAATTGTGAAGCAAAAACAATGCCACAATATTTTTTATTGGCTTTTGTGGACTTGCAAAGCACTAAAAATTCATTCAACTTCGATGTGCTCTGCCGGAATTGCAACTCCATTTTCATTCGACTTTCTCTCTTGGGCATGAATTATTTATTTACGACTGCCATGGTTCAATTTTGTATTAGGACTTCACTGCCACATGGTACATTTTAAATGATCGCAGCGACTATGAGCCGTAAATAAGAGTAGAAAATTGTGTTTTTGTATACACTTTGTATTACCTAACAAATGGGGCAGTTCTCTGTGAGTATTATTAATTATTTCATGATCCTGGAATACGGATTGCGGCCCCGAGAAGTTTGAGGGGTATCCATGATTTTGTTGCAAATCACCATTGACTCCCTGCTTAGCTTATTTCTCATTGCCAAAGATTTCCTTGAAGGCATTTCGGTGTTTCCGACCGTTGAGTTAGTAAGATGCAATCGTATCCATTACTAATTGAGCAAAATAAGGAGCGTGGACTGGTTGATCTGGGTGCATTTTCATCGCAGGAGCCCGATGTGGAATTATGTTGTAGTTATGCATTAACTAACATCAGTTTAAAGCCTGTGCAGCCGCCTTCAATTAAATTATTCCATAACATTTGTTGTTGCTTATCTCATTTGGTACTTGTGCAAGTAATTAACTTTCTTGTTTACCCACATGACCAACAAATTCCGTAGAACCCTTCAACTAATGCTGTTTTTATGCCCACCCACACAGTGTGCTGCTGCTATCTGGTCCATGTCCTCCTCTATTTTGTGCATCACTCTGCCTCTGCCTCCCAGTGGTGCCATTAACGTTTTTCCATCATGCGCCCGCTTTTTGCAATTTAGATAGTTGAATTGTGCCTTTGCTTCACTTGGCACAAGCTCAAAGTTAGATGGAATTTAATATGAAATGAAATACTTTTGATTTAACCAATTAGAAATTTTGCAAAAATAGTTTATGTAGTTTAAAAGTTAATGATTTTAGGTAGTTTTTTACAACTACGATTATCTTTTTAACTTTTTGGATGTCTTACCCAATTCCAAATATATGATTCCTTAAAACCCTAACACAAACACTTTCCGAAAAGGGATATTGGACACCTGCCACAGTCAATTAGCCTCCTTCCGATCCAATTATGTTGTTTCCCTTGTGGGAGAGAATATCATGTTGGTTGAATATGTCATAAATACAAGCACCCTAGATTTTTATGTCACAACGGTTTTGCTTTCATTTTTTGCTGGTGTTGCTGCTCGCCCACCCATGTGGGCGTGGCATGAACAACATTTACATATGGCGTTTACACTTATCAACATTATGTTGGGCGACGCCTGTTTGTGGTTATGCGCGGCACATTCGGGTTAACATTGCGTATGAATAATTGAATATGTCCTGTTCTGCACGTTCGTTTTTTGTTGCCGGTTGTTTGATTAATTGTGCACACACACACGGCGTGTGTGTGTAAAAAAACGAGATGGCTCCATCACACTTTAAAGCATTGGACAGCAGATGAATTCAATTGCATTTCGACCGCAGAAGAACGGACAGCTGACCTAAAATTAAAAAAATTTAAACGAAAAAAAAGAAACATTAAGACAGAATGCCAGGGGCTTCGAAAAAAAATATATATCACAAAAATTGTGTAAATATGGCTTGTTCAAAGCCACAAATGGCCAGGATTTTAGCAGCATCAGAGGTTATCCATCCATTCAGATTAACTGAAAACAACAGTGGTTCAAGAGTTTCTAAAGTATTTAAGGATATAAAACATTTGTCGAAGTTATTCTATCTTCAATCAGTCTTTCAGTCTTTTGAATACTAAAACTTGTTCGTAAAATCTATCTAAATAAACTTCAAAACACGCTTAAAGCCAATGAAACATGCCTAATGTGTCAGTGTAAACTAGCCATGAGATCCCTCCAGACTTTGCAACCGGAAAGGCAATGGCCACAAGTTCGATTTGCATTTGGTCGGGATACTTTGGCGTAAAGGTAAATTCGGTTCAATGTTCTGGGGGCCAAGGGAAAATGCAATCGACAAGCGTTTTAAAAGGCATGGCACTGCCTTTGTGCGCAGTCAAAAGGCAGCAATAAAATTACTTGCGTCACACAGCGAACAGGGAATACGAATCGAATTGCAGCCAAAGATAAAATGGCAGCCGACATATATTGTACATATAAGCATGCATGTGAATGTGGGATAAAGGTCCTGATTAAAGATTTGTACTCTCAGCACAATTTGCATTTTCCCGGGCAATCTGCAGCAGAAAGGTGAATCCTGACTGAAAGCGAGATTAAGGGATTCGGATTCCCCCGAGCTACATTTCTGTGATTTGTTAAATAAAACGATGTTCAGTTTTCTTATTAAATGAATCATAGTCTGTGTCTCTTTGGGTATAAAGTAAAGGGAATTCTACATTTTCTTAGCTTAAAATTTAAATTCTTGTGAATCAGAAATGGAATTATTGTTAGTAATGATAAAAATGAAAAATTTCATTTATTTATGGCATATAAGCTTAATCGGCCATAAGATTTAAAGTTTTCTATTGTTTTACTGCCAGCATTTATTGTCAATTTATTTATCCTATTCAACTTTGCTCCAAATTGCTCCAAATTGTATGAAAATGAAATAAACCTAAGCTGTCATAAACTATTTTTATGCCCGCAAATTGCGCATACGCAGTGGATGCCAAATTGACGAGGGATTTCACTAAACCCACTGGCAAAGTCTTCATTTAAAAAGTATAAAACTCGTAGTAAAGCCATAAAACTTTAAATTTTAAATTGCCATTTGCCAATTCAATTGAATTATCTTTGCCATTTGATATAGAAAATAGAATAGCAAAAAAAGGCATTATTATTTCAATTAGGATAAATAAGTAGATTGGTTTAATCTAATAAATATATCGAAAAGGTAAATGAATATTTTTACGACTGCGGTAACAAGTCCAGAAAATTCCCAATAAAAGCAGGCAGAGGTTTTGGATGATGTTGATGAGGAGGACAAACGATCCGTCTTCTTTCGAATTTATTTTCAGAGTAGTGAAAAAAAAGAGAGCCGTACAACTAACATGGCGACAGGTACCCTTTTGTTACCAGAGATGCTCCCCTGGCGACATTGCCCCTTGTTCAGCTTGAACATTCTCCCCCCCCGCGCAAGAGGAATGCTTGCGATCTACGAGAGGGAGCATCGTCCGGAAAGGATCCATCCCAGCGTCGTATTTTGTGCCATCGGCAAGCCGTCCTGACCCGGGAGGATACCCGGCAGCATCAGGTCAGCGTAAACGTCCGCTCCCAGCACAACCGACACTAGCGATGGGTGGAACCACCGGTCATCCGCCAATGTGACATTCTGAAACATGTCCTGCACCTTCGGGTCCAGCGGTTGCCCCGGCGTTCGTGTCTGCATCTGCTCGTCCACCAGCATCAGAAGCTGCTTGCTCATCTTGGAGGCCTTGGAGCGCATCTCGGTGGTGCACACCCGTTGGTCGCCAATGCCCGTGATGGCCAGATTAAGGGCTTTAACCAGGGAGATGTGGATGCGACTCACAGGACAGCACGGATCCACCAGGGCTCGGACATCAAACCGCTTTTGGTCGGATCCGATTAGCACGGACGCGGTCGGGAGGATGCTAACACTTGTGCGCGCCAGGATAGGCGTGCACGACCGGCTGCGGGATGGAGACATATCCATTGGCGTGGCGGGCCGCCGAGATCCGGATACAGGCGCCTTATGGCGCTGCTGTGACTGACGCTGAGGCCGAGAATCCGAGGGTGGGTTGCGCCTTTGTCGGGGTCGCGAAGAGCGAGGCTGCCCAGTGTGGATGTGTAGCAGCGTGTGATGAGCCTCATGGCATATATGACACCTCGCTGTACTGCGGCACGACCGACCGGAGTGCTCGTGTGCCAGACAGTTTGCGCAGTACTTGTTAATGAGTACCGCGCGGAGCCGCTTCACAGCCGGCAGTTGGAGAAACCGTCGGCAAACCCTCAGTGCGTGGACTCCCCTGCAGACTCGACATCTGTATACATTGCTCCCGGATGAGCGACGAGGATTTTGGTGGGTCGTTGGAGCCATTGTATACACGGATCTAAATTAAAAGAGAGAGATGGATAAATATGATAATGAAATGTTATGGATGAGGATGAACAAGACACGTGGACGGAACGACGACGTTGGATGACACAACTTAGGACTAGTACATGTCAATTGGAAGGATTACTCTATTGAGGAGTCACTGTGGTCAATGGGGCCGTCCATTGGGAGGCGAATCATTTTCGCCACTGGCCGTCGGATGACGCCCCGTGCTGTAAGCACGTCTGCAACTCTGACCTTGCCGTCGGCGCCCGGATATACCAACTGGATACGCCCAAGCCGCCATTCGTTGGCTGGCAAGCTCTCCTCCTTGATCACAACCATGTCTCCCGCTTGGAGATCTCGTGATGGGAACTTCCATTTGTTCCTTTTGTGGAGCTCCTTCAGATATTCCTCCTTCCAACGCACACAGAACTGCTGATGCAGGGCCTTCAACCTCCGCCACCGATTGATGATGGAAATAGGATTTTCCTCAATCAGAGGCTCCGATACCGCAAGAAGTGGTCCACCAATTAGAAAATGTCCGGGGCTAAGAGCCACAAGGTCAGTGGGATCTTCGGACATTGGTGAAATAGGCCTGGAGTTTAAACAGGCCTCAATTTTCGCAAGGAGGGTAGCCAGTTCTTCGAAGGTGTACTTCCCTGCTGCTGTGTACTTGTAGAAGTGAGCCTTGAAACTTTTCACACCCGCCTCCCAGAGCCCTCCCATGTGAGGCGCGCCAGGAGGGTTGAAATGCCAGTCCAAGTTCTGAAGGCTGTGTTTGGAGAGGATCAGTGTTCTGGTTGATTCCATAAAGTCTCTGGATAAGGACGTGGAGGCTCCGACGAACGTTTTCCCGTTGTCAGAGTAGACATGTTGTGGACACCCACGGCGAGCAGAAAAACGAGAGAAGGCAGCTAAAAATTTCTCTGTCGTCAAGTCGGACGTCGCTTCGAGATGGATGGCCCTGGTACTAAAGCAAACAAAAACGCAGACGTACCCCTTTGTGACTTTGCAGCCTCGACCGACATAACTCTTGATGTCAAATGGCCCCGCGAAATCCATGCCTGTATGAGTGAATGGCCTGGAGAAAGAGGATCTCGCCCGGGGTAAATCCCCCATCAACTGCCTCTGCAGGTTCTTCTTGTGGATGACACAAACTCGGCACGAGTGGATTGTGTGTTTCACCAACCTCTGAAGCTTAGGAATCCAGAATTTAGACCGAATCAGTCTCACCATTAACTGATTCCCCCATGCAAGGATATGCGATGGGTAAACAGGGCTTGTAGTTTCGCGAACCTACATCGCGCTGGGATGATGATAGGATGTTTTTCATCATAACTGAGCATGTCAGATGCTTGTAAACGGCCGCTTGCTCTCAAGACCCCCTTTCTGTCAACAAAGGGGTTTAAGTTAGAAATTGTACTTGAGGATGGAATTTGCTGCTTGTTACTTAAAGCCTTATATTCGACGGGGAACTCGTTCTTTTGAGTGAACACGATTAATCGCTCTTGCACGTCGGACAACTCCGCCGAAGTGAGTGCTGCCGATGGGGGTATGTCTTCCTTTTTGCAATTTTTCGCAAAACGGATCACGTATGCTAGAACCCGCAGCGCCCTGTCGAAGGTTGAAAAACGCTCTAGGATATCCACTGCTGGCGGCACTGTGGCACTGTGACATTTGATAGGCCGTTGCTCCATCTCGGTTTCCGGATTAACCAGTGGTTCACTCGGCCACTGCTCCTGCTTGAGTGGCAGCCAAGCCGGCCCGTGCCACCAAAGTGTGCTGTCCTTAAGCTCTTGGGGCGAGACGCCTCGGCTTGCCAGATCAGCTGGATTGTCTTCGGATCGTACATGGCCCCATTTGCTTTCGTTGGTGCGCTGTTCGATCTTTGCGACCCTGTTGGCCACGAATGTCGTCCAGGTGCATGCTGGCTTGCCTAGCCATGCAAGAACTATAGTAGAGTCTGTCCAATAAAAAATCTCATAAGCTTTAGGAGGCAATTCGGAAATTACTGATGCTGCTAGCTCAGTGAGCAGCACTGCTCCGCACAACTCCAGGCGGGGTATGGAGATGGACCTGACGGGAGCGACTCTGGTCTTGGATGCCAGCAAATGGGCACAACAGCCGTCAGCCGTTTCGACTCGGACGAAAATAGCAGCCCCATACGCGTCCTGTGACGCATCGCAAAACGCATGGTACTGCACCTTGGCAGCAGGATGGAAACGCACCCACCTCGGAATACGAATTTCCCTCAGGGTCGGATACCCTTTCAAAAACTCTTGCCACTTGGTCACAAGGTCGGTGGGGAGTGGCTGATCCCAGCCTAGCTCCCGTAGCCAAATTTCCTGCATGAAAATCTTGGCTCGGATTACGAAAGGCGATAACCACCCTGCCGGGTCGAACAGTTTGGCTATTTGAGACAAAACCTCTCGTTTGGTGTAGGCAGGTTGCAGGGAGATCACCATTGGAACAAAAAAGAAACTATCGGATGTAGCTTGCCAACGGATCCCAAGAGTTTTCGCCGTGCTGGCATCTTCCAGCTCAAGGAAGTCTGCACTGACCAAATGTTCCCTCGGAATCGCTTGTAGGAGTCTCCTTTCGTTTGAGGTCCACTTGCGCAGTGGAAAACCGGCACTCTCGAGAGCCAGCCGAAGCTCTTTAATGGCTAAAACTGCCGACTGCTGAGTGTGAGCCCCTGCGAGCACATCGTCCACGTACATGAAGTTCGAAATGATGTCGCTGGCCAAAGGATATTGGCCTCGGATGTCCTGAGCCAACTGCTGAAGCACTCTGATGGCCAGGAAGGGCGCACAATTTACGCCGAAGGTGACTGTGTCGAGTTCATAGTCACAGAGCTCACCGTATTTGTTGCGGAATAAGATTCTCTGAAAGCGCGTGTGATCAGGATTGACCCGGATTTGCCGATACATCTTTGTGATGTCCGCATTGAAAACATACTTAAAGAAACGCCATTTTAGAATCTGAATAGTCAGATCGGACTGTAGTACAGGCCCCGCATGAAGGATATCATTGAGGCTGTTCCCGTTTGATGAGGGATTGGAAGCGTTGAACACGACGCGAACCTTCGTCGTGGTGCTATCTGGTTTGAAGACAGCGTGATGAGGCAGATAAAAACTGCTAGAGTCGTCAGGGGAGACTTGGTGCATATGACCTAAGTCTAAGTACTCTCGAATGACTGAGTCGTACTGCTCCTTCAATGGAAGATCTTTACTTAATCGCATTTCGTTTCGGAGGTACTGAGCTAGTGCGATGGGTCTGGAATGTCCAAGCTTAATATTGTCCGGCTCTTTAAAGGGCAACGAAACAACATATCTTCCATCCTCACTTCTTTTGGTGGATCGGATAAAGTTCTCCTCGCAAACCGAGGTGGATTCCTTAACCAGCTTCACTGGGACATCCTCCACCTCCCAAAATTTTGTGAGGATGCTGTCTAGTTTGGATTCCTTGACTGCTAATCGGGCTGAAAAGGAGCAGACTCTGCTTGTGGGACTCGCTGCAATCGGACCGCAAAGAATCCACCCGAATATGGTCTCTTGACCCAGGAGTGTTCCACAAATATTGGAATGGGAGCCGCTTAGGAGGATCGATGGCAGGATATCGGCACCAATAAGCACGTCAATCTGCGAGCTTCGGAAGAAATTTGGATCTGCTAGTTGCAACGGTGGAAGATCCTTTAATGAGGCCTCTGGTAGAGTGTAGGATGGGAGATTACCAGCTAACTGGGGTAACACGTATGCACAAGTTTCAATCTGGATATGGGGCTTGACGGAAGAACCTATGATGAGTTGACACCTCTTACGAGGCTGAGCGGCAACGGAAAGGTTGACCCCCGAAACTTGGGCTTGAATGGACTCATATGGCAACTTAATTAGGTTGAACAACCGTTCTGAGATGAAGGTTGCCTCGGAACCTGAGTCAATGAGTGCCCGTGCTGAGTATTTTATGCCCAAATGGCAAACTTCTATCAATGCCGTACTCAGTAGGACCCCTTGCGTGTTAACGGCAAGAAACGTTTGCACATTCGCTTGACTCGTCGATGGAGTGGACTGTATCTGTTGCTGGGTTGCTGTGGATGGATGGGACTGCTGGTCAGGCATAACCACTGAATGGACTGGCAGAGGGGTACTTCGATGCAGGAGAGTATTGTGACGTCCATTGCAGGTGTAGCAGTTATGCGTACTGTTGCAATCCCGGAGCAGATGCGTTCTTGCGAAACAGTTCAAGCACAACTTCTGCTGTTTTACATGTTTCTCTCGATCTGCGACTGACATGCGTAAGAATAGAGGACATAATCGGACTGGATGGTTCTCCTGTGCGCAGAGTTTGCAGGATTGCGGGTTTACCGTAACTCTGTTTTCGAAGGTCTGGATCGACCGCGAGCTATTTTCAGCCCTCAGTGCCCTGGATTGAACGCTCGCGTTTGGCTTGAACTCCTCAATCGCCTCAAGCGTTCGATGACGATCTTTTAAGAAAGCCTGGAATTCAGCCCAAAGTGGAATCTCTGACTTATTTAGCAGGGACTGTTCCCACAGAGCCAAAGTTAGTTTTGGCAACTTGGACGAGCACAGGAAAACAAGCAGGCAATCCCAATTCGTGGTCTCGACTCTTGCTAATTGCAGGGCCGTTAAACAACCTTGGATTGTGCTCTCTAAATGCTTCAAGGATTTTCCGCATTCCTGGGCAACAGAAGGCAAATTAAACAAGATCTTTAATTGGCTATTGACCAGCAGCCTCTTGTTCTCGAACCGATTCTGCAAGTTTCTCCACGCTGACTCAAAACCATCATTGGTCAACGGAGATAAGGCCACAATGGATTTGGCCTCGCCGCTCGTCTTTGCATTGAGATGGAACAGTTTTTCGACTTCTGAAAGCCGAGGATTGCGTACATAGATGGCGGAGAAAAGGTCCCGAAATGTGGGCCATTGAACATAGTCACCATTGAAAACTTCGCACTCAACTGGAGGTAGGCGACATCCGCCCTGAGACGGCATTAGATTGGAGGACTGAACAGACTGTGGCGCGCGTGAATTTTCAATGATCTCATTGAGGTTTGCTGCGCACCGCTCGTAAACGGTATAACAGTAGTCATACTTGGATTGCATGACTGTTATTGTGTCTTTGCAGTTTTGACTGGCCAGCACTTCGGAGCACGTCTCGTACTCCCTTTCCACCTTGTCCCAGAGAGCCCTGATCTGCTCGAGTCGAACCCTACTCGTGTGGATGGACGGACCTTGGTCAGTCGGGGTGTTGAATCTGGCTTCGAACTGACCCATCCTATCGGTTATGGTCGTGAATTTCACCAAAGCCTTGTCTCCCTCAGCTTGAGCCCTTTTTTCAGTTGCTCTAGTGACCTGGGAAGACACGACTGATTTCGCGGCCCTTGTGGATGGTGCAGACGGTAGAACTTCGAGCGACGTGCTCGTAGATTTACGTGGAGTGGTGGTTGCTAATGGGCTTTTGCTTCGAGAGGGATTTTCGTTTTCGGAAGGCACAGAGGATTCACTCGTTGCCCTGCCTCTGGAAGACGCCTCCGCTGTAGAAACGGTCAGACGGGGTTTTGGTTCCTCACCGTCGCCGTTTTCCATGTTAAACTCTTGATGGGGCCGCTGGATAAGCGCAGGAAAACAGAGTTAATCGAAAAAATTATATTTATCGATTTGGAATAAGTGCAGGGACGCTGGATAAGCGTAAATAAACAAATAATACTCGAAAAGGATGTTATCGATTTTTTTTTTTTTTTTTTTAATGAAAAACAGGGACGCTGGATAAGCGCAGGAAAACAGAGTTAGTCGAAAAAATTATATTTATCGATTTGGAATAAGTGCAGGGACGCTGGATAAGCGTAAAAAAACAAATAATACTCGAAAAGGATGTTATCGATTTTAAATCAAAACAGGGACGCTGGATAAGCGCAGGAAAACAGAGTTAATCGAAAAAATTATATTTATCGATTTGGAATAAGTGCAGGGACGCTGGATAAGCGTAAATAAACAGATAATACCCGAAAAGGATGTTATCGATTTTAATTAGTACGGGGACGCTGGATGAAGCGTTCAAAATTTATGATTATCGATTTTAAATCAATACAGGGACGCTGGATAACGCGTTGGCACGTATGCACTCGATTCGAAAGATATGGGGGCGCTGGATAACGCGTAGAACAAATTAATCGAAAGAAATGCTATCGATATTCAATTAATACGGGGACGCTGGATGACGCGTTGGCACGGATGAACTCAGTTCAAAGATATGGGGGCGCAGGATAACGCGTTGGCACGGATGTACTCGGTTTGAAAGATATGGGGGCGCTGAATAACGCGTAGAACAAATTAATCGAAAAAATGCTCTCGATTTCCAATTGATACGGGGACGCTGGATAACGCGTTGACTGAATTAATCGAAAAAAAGTTGCTAGAAATTTCAAATCAATACGAGGACGCTGGATAAAGCGTTTAAAATTATGGTTATCGATTTGGAATAAATACCGGGCGCTGGATGAAGCGTTTAAAAATTATGGTTATCGATTCGGGAAAGTGTGTACGTTGGATAACGCGTAGAAGAAATCAGTCGACAAAAAAAAAACTGCTGTCGATTTCAATTTAATACGGGAACGCTGGATGACGCGTTGACAAGGATGTACTCAACTCAAATTAATATGGGGGCGCTGGATAACGCGAAAACCAAAATTAATCGAAAAAGAATGCTATCGATTTCACAGGAATTAAAAAAAATAAAAAGTCGAAAAAGGGTTTTATCGATTTGGGTATGAACCAAGGAAAAAAAAATATGTAGAATGAATTATTCGGAGACAAATAAATGTTTGTCGAAAAATACTGTGGGGTTGGAAGTGCAGACAAAAGGATTAATCGAAAATGTATGCTTATCGCCTTTTTAGATATACTTGGACGCTGGATAATGCGTACCAAAAAATAATCGGAACGGTGTACACGATTCAAAAAAAATTAGGTTGTAAATTAGTCGAATTAAAACTCAAAACCAATAATACAAAAAAAAAATGCACCCAAGTGTGAATGGCTCATTAACAGACTCAGCCGGTAATAGTGTCGCAACCTTGGCGGCCAGTACTTACATACATATGTATTTACGCAAAATAAACAAATAAAGAACTATTAAAATCGCAGATTTTTTTTAATTTTGTTTGTTTCACTTTGTTTGTGTTCGGATGCAGCGACACTTTTAGCTGCCGATGCTCAATTGCCGGTCCAGCAATTTGTATGGATATGTGCATATATGTGTGCACGTATGATCGGCCAGCTGGAGGAGGGGGTTAACTTTATTTATCTTTTGTTTTGTTGTTAATGTGCAGTGGATGGAAAATACATATGTACATATATTTATTGTGGATAGGATGTGTTTTTTTCTCCTCTTTAAATGCCGCAGATTTGTGACCCAAAGGTAACATACATATGTCCATACATAGGTTCATAGATCGGCCATGTACATAAATGTGTATGCAATTGCCGGTCCAGCAATTTGTATGGATATGTGCATATGTATATGTATGTACGTATGCACGTATGATCGGCCAGCCAGAGGAGGGAGATAACTTTATTTATCCCTTTTTTTTTCTTGTTTTATTATTGTGCGGTGGATAAAAAAATGTACATATATTTATTGTGGATGGGATGTGTTTTTTTTGTTTTAAATGCCGCCGATTTGTGACCCAAAGGTAATGAACATACGTATGTACATATGTATGTTCATAGATCGGCAATGTACACAAATGCGTATGCAAATAACTCGGTGTGGATGTATGGCTTTTTATGTGCGGAAAAATGGATGTCAGCCTTCCTGGATATTGGCTGATTTAAAACATGTATAGGAGAGGGGCATATAGCTATGTAAACACATGCATATACATATATATCCTACTGCACAAGTTGGTAGAGTTTTAAATAAATTGGATGCAGCAATATATCTACATATATGTATATGCAAGTATGTACATACATATATGGTGGGAATTTCGGCACCGTACTTATCTTGGCAAAAAAGCGCTGGAATATCTCGGGCGAAGGACCAAAAATGAAGCTGTCGGGGCCGTGGCAAGTACAAGTCCAGAAAATTCCCAATAAAAGCAGGCAGAGGTTTTGGATGATGTTGATGAGGAGGACAAACGATCCGTCTTCTTTCGAATTTATTTTCAGAGTAGTGAAAAAAAAGAGAGCCGTACAACTAACATGGCGACAGGTACCCTTTTGTTACCAGAGATGCTCCCCTGGCGACATTGCCCCTTGTTCAGCTTGAACATTAATTATATCAATTATACCCATTTTTATTTAGAGAAATTGTTTCATAAATATGCAATAATCAACAATAATCATGAAAAACAACAATTCTACGAGAGCTAATAACACAAATTAAATTAAAATATCGTTTACATTTCGTTATACAAAGTAAAGTTAAATAGAATATCTCTTATCAAATATTTTAATCAAAACAAAACAATGATATAAAACCGTTTTATTAACTTTTAATGATATACCGCAAATGCGGATAATGATATACCGGAAATTCGAAGGGCAAACCATAAAAATTGACTATTTCCCATTGATTACCATGCATTTGGAAAATTAAATCATAAAAATGCAAATTAATATTGCTCAAGCTATAAAAGCAATGACGAAGATGCGCGGAAGTGAAATATAAATAGAGTTATCTCTTTTCCCATAAAAAATAAAGAAGAAAACGATTCAGAGAGGCTTTTAAATTCATTAAATCATACAAAGTGAAGTTTAAATATTAGACTAATTGATTTGTATGGTTAATGCCATTTAAAATTATTAGCTGTTGACCAGAAAATTGTAGTTATAATAAATGTATAACTTCCTTCTCCGCCAAGTCTAAAAGTCCCTGAGAGATTGGAAAAGTTTCCTGCCGTTTTATAATTTTTTTTCTGTACTTTTTCCCTTCCAGGAATCAAGGACCCTTGTTAGAGTTTCGCCTTTTTATGTCTCCACAGACTTTTACAGGCGCTAAAAGCATGTAAAATATCTGTCAACGGGCTGGAGTTTAGCCACAAGACTTTACAATAGTTGTTCTTGGCTTCTTTTTTTTTCTGTAATCACCCAAGTGTCTGGTAACTTGTTTTAAATTAGAATATTGGCTTGAGGACGAACTTTCACAGCTGTTCCTTTTGACACGTAATAAATTATCCTTGATTGGCAATGGTCTAATTCACATTCAGTTCTGGCTGGATTCCGTAAATTACCTACCTTATTAGCTGTGGTTACACACAATCACCTATTAGCTGAATATTGTCAAACAAACATTTACAAATTAGAGGCCACGAGAGTAGTGTGATTGCAAATATCTTTGAATATCTCACATTGTCTTGCACTAATTATGACGGAGCGAAAATGTATTAATCAATGGGTTTATCTCGTAAAAGAATAACTTATCCAGCTAGAAAATAATTAAAGCGTCATTTAACCCAATAAATAGTTCTCTAATATACATTTTCCTACAAAAATTGCGGCCCTTCTAACCTTGTCAGCGTGCTAAGACCACAGTAATTTCATTTTCTATTCACTCCTGGCAGACGACATATTAAATTTTAGTGCCTGCCGCATAAGTGAGTCGTCACTTAGCTGCACTCCGAGGGCAATGAAAAGTTTCGCCCGGAAAATGCGGCTGGCTGGGATCGTCAATGTTTCGCATGAAGGTTGCTGGGTGTCTGTCAGAGACTTAATTTTATATGCTGCCATATATTCATGTACGTGGGCGGGTGTGACACACTAATGCACTTAGTCGCTGATAGTAATGTGCTCATAATTTTCAATTAAAAACTTGCGGCAACAATGACTTGATTGTGAAACGGGTAAGCATGTGGGGAGAAAGTTAGTTTCAAAGTTCTTTTAGAATTATGGTGATTGTAGTTCACTAATTAAAATCTTCCTTAGAATTATGTAGTTAGTTTTTAAGTCGATATCCAAGCATCAGCAACAGGTTGTAACCCTGAAAGGTCTCTGTGGATCTGTGACAAGTTCCACACAATGCGTAAACAAACAAAAAGGAAGCACAACTTGCAACGTGTTGAAAGGAACATGTTGCGTGGCAGGGAGAGGCTTGCGGACTTACTGAACATTTTCCCTGAATATAAATTTCCCTTCCTGTAAAATTCTGTTAGCTGTTAGTGGTGGAAAAATGTTAAAAAATTTCCGAGTTAGTCTTCAACGAATGCCAGCCAAAGGCAGGCGGTTCCCATAACCAGCGGGAAAACTCATAAAAGATTATTGAATAGAAAACACGTATAAAATAAGTACCTTGAATAATCGTTTGGTATATATTTGATTTTATAAGCTAGAACAATTTATTGTCCTAATTCTTTGAGGGAACAAAAAAGGCCAACAAACTAGCTCAAGCCAGAAAAACACGAAAGGTTTAAGCACACGCATAAATTATAATGGACCCTCATAAATGCCAAAAACCCGTAACCGTAGTCCTTCTCCCTAACAACAAGCATCGTTATGGTTATTGAACTTGATAGTGTGCTCCACACTCCTGACCTTGCTTCTGGCTTAATAATAGCCGTAAGCCTTTGCATATTGAATACTAATTACCAGATTAACAGACTTGACACTGAATTTAAAATTGTTTATATAAAGGCAAAACAAAATGAATAAATATTTGTCAAAGTTATCACCTGAATTATAGCGAAGCTCAAAAAACAAACACAAAATCCAGGCTAAGATATTCAAAATTTTATGTTGGATCATAAAAACCCAAGACTGGTGCAAAAAGCAGCTTAAATTCTCAGCTCCCATCAATCTTAAGCGCTAGACAAACAACAAATTTACATTTATATTCGGAAACGTTGCTTAAATATCACTTGAAAGCTTAACAAATAATGCCATAAATATTATAAGAACAAACTACTTTTATTATAAGAATGTTTATTAATAAATAAAACCCATGCGTGTATAAAAAAAAACCTTTTAAATTATATAAAATATGAAAAAAATGTACCGTTTCTAGAAAGAATATTTTCCTTTGACTAAACAAAACTGGCAAATCGAAAATGGAAAGAGGAAATGCTGGGCAAAATAAAAACCCCAATTGATTTAAAATCCGAGCAATAAAACTGCAACAAAAGCGTAGCAAAGTGAAAGCAAACAAGTTGCTTGCACACCGATAAAATCAAACGGGAATGGGGAAAAAATTCAAAAATAAATACGCGATTCAACACAATTGCAGAGAGGGCGAGGCACCGAGGGGTGGCGCGGGAAAAAGGCACAGCGGAAAAAATAATAAGAAACCGAGAGCAGCGAATATAAAATCTAAAATTGACCATAAACCCGACGGTGGCCCAGAAATGAAGATAAGCGGCGAAGGCGAAGGAAGCACCAAATTGATATACGTTCCCTTTTGTTTTTTTTGGGGTCTGAAGATGCTTCTTTTTAATACAAGGTATTCCTGGAAAATAGGGTATATACTCGAGGCATGGAGATGTGGGGATATATGATATCTAAAAAAATGTAGGCCACACAATTCCTGCCTTTTTTTATAATTGATTTTCACAGTATTTAACATATTTTAAACCCAGGTATTCCTAAGTCGTGACTGTACATTTTCCACATTTTTTTTTTTGGTCTGCCATTTTCGCGCTGCGCTCAAGGACGAAGCGTAATTTGCTGGGCGGACCCGGGGGTGAGCCAGTGCCATCATAATAATTTAAAGTAGAACTGATAATCTTTGGCAGGCTAAAGTGTCCTTGGGTGGCAGGAAAAGGCGAAAAGGTGGCTGAAAGGCATTGGGGAAAAGTGCTTAAATAAAGCTGTTGTTGCTGTGTTGTATTTGCTCAGCCATCTTGGTTTTTCAGCAGTCAAAATGTTTTGCTTAGAACAAAATTCATGTCACTCGAGATGCTCTTGTTCAAGCTGTTGGCTTCGGCAGCAACATAAGTTTAGTTTATTATCAGTTTTATGCTAATCGATTTGGGGATACTTGCACCAGCTGCCGCATCAGTTAAAGTTTTAAATACCATTGGAAAAAGTTTAAAATTAAGCTGAATGTTTAAGGTTTTAATAAGTGGATCTACAAGAAGCTTAAAAACACTTCTAACAAGGTTTAAAATTAAGTAAAATATAAAGTACCTATTATTCATCTTTATTTTAAAAATTTAAAAGCCTCTGTAATAGAATCTAGACCTAATCTTGTTGGAAAACTCACACAGATTAAGGCATTACAAACCAACAATTTCAAAAATCAACAATAGCCCCGGTATCTATAATTTTCATATTACACACAGAGTTCTACACACAAAATGCAAATTGGAACCCAAACGAGAGAGCAAATAAGAAAAGCAAAATTCTGCATGCCAACTTCTCACACAAATTCGCAAACAATCGCTCTCGAATGCATTGTGTGCAGTTTGTATTGCATTTACAGATGTTAGGTAAGTGGTTCAGTTTGCTTACCAACGAATACAAGCGAATAATGTGGGTTAAACTGAAGCATTTAACTACAAAATTTAAATGTTAAAAAGTAATTAAACTAGGTTCTATTAATATACCATAGTTCTTGGATTCTAAGCGTTAAAATAAGTACTAGCCGTCCTTGGAAAGACCTCATTCTCCAAACGAATATTTTTCATTCACACAGATGCGCAAAAGCTAGCTAAAAAAAAGGCAAAGGAAGAAAGAATACATCCTGTGTGGCTCAGAACCCTTTTTATCAAGTCAAATATGTAAATGACGCTGCCAAATGTGTCCAACTCAAGTGAGAACATATGCGGCTCCCGGTCAGTTTTTCCCCACTTTTTTTGTTTCGCCTGACAAATCTGATTATGTTATTTAGATTAGCCACAAAAGTCGGCTGTCAGTTGGCAGTAAGCCTTTTTGCCTCCGTCCCTTACCATTCCGGTCCGGCCACATGAGGTAATCATAAATTATTACACAACATGCTCTTCCCAACAAATTTCCTTAAAGTCCTTTTCAACGCACTTTGAGTGACCCAAATTGGGTGAATTTCAGTGAGCTTTTCGGCTGTCAGAGCACATGAACGTTGGCCAGATCAAAGGGGGGAATGGCATCAATTGATGCTCACCTGCCTGCTTTTTGCCTGGGGCGTTGATTGCAAATCTTCAAGTGGCTTTGACAGCACCACCTTTCCCAAAAACGAAGAAAAAACTGACAAGACACGAGCTCCAACAGAAGCTGGAACGGAAGACGCCGTGCAAACACGCAGGGAGCCAACAGAAAATTGGATTTTATGCTTATTTACATTTGTCGGTTGCCAGCAGGTGGGACACCTCCGAAAAAAGAGGTTACCCCGTGGATATGAGGGATATCCCTCCGCGTGAGCACATCAAATATACATGCATTTATCCATTCAGGATTTCGCCTGAAACTTGAAAAAACGAGAGCGATAAAAAGTAGGCAACTTTCCGGAACGGATCGGATCCATTAAAGCCAACTGTTGCTGGCCATATTCTGTGAAATTTATACGCATTCGCATATCGATTCAATTTCCATTGAATGTTCACTTTTTTCCAATGATTTTAAAGCAGCAAGCTGGTGTTGCCTTTATCGGTTTGCCTTTTTTACAAAGTATAAAAACTTGATCAAAATTTATACTTATATCTATTCAAATAACTAAGCAGGGGAACATTTCCCCTAATTTTAGGTAATTTTTAAATTTAATTTTAAAAAATGAAACATACTTTATGCTTAACTAACTTTTACTAGATTGCTCCCCAGCTGCTTACACATTTTTCTTGATTTTATCGATCGAATTATAAGGAATATTGCGCACTTTGAAGGTCGCCCTGGCGGGTATCCTTATTTATCTTTTGCTTTGAAATTTATGCACTCCTTCTGGAGCAGCCCAAGTGGTCCCCCGGGTATAATAATAATGATAGCAGGCGGCCGCCGAATGGGGCGTATGCGTAATTTATGATAAGCAATTGACTTGTTGACATGACCGAGGGCACATCTCTGCGTATAGTTTATGTGTGCTTGCATTCCTTGCCAAGATTGCAGATAGCCCCGGAGCACTCGTAATCCCGGCTCAAAGTAGAGCGCCAACAAAAGAGCCACAGATCCCCGGTAATCTTTGGCGTAATTGACATCTGATTGGAGAAGCATCTGGCCGGGTGCCAAGTCCGCTGCCACTACGTGCTACCTGGCTAATCACGCAGCCGTGACGTCGACGGGGCGGCAGGTATGTGGACGGGAGCGACAGGTGATGAGACTACGCTGCGGCCGGGCGTTGTAACTAAAATCCACGTGAAAGCCAACACCTTGTCACCAGGTGACATCGCCACCCACACACAAGCGAAGCCCCGGACGTGTCATGTGCTTGTATAACTTCTGACGAGCCAAATATAACTCAACGCGGCTAGAAAAGCCGCTCGGTCAACGGGATCGCGGAAAGCCAGAGGAAAATAACTATGAGAGACGCCTGATACACTAGACAATTTTTTAGGAATTATTTTTAATGCATAAATTTGTTTTTGAAAAGAAACTAAAGCAGTACTAATTTTGCTGAGGATAAATTAAGGTTATTTATAGGCATCTTCGGTATTTTACATTTCTGGCTTAAATTTTCCTCATTATTTTAACAATAATTTCCAACATTTAAATAAAGCTTTGCCTTGTGTGCCTGAAGATGCTTTTGCTGCACTCCGTTCCCTTACAGGTGATTTGAAGCCAGCAAGCCACAGGATTCGGGTCGGACTTGGGCTCCGTATTGAAGCTACTGAATTCTATTCAATGCTGTTGTGGCAAGGACTGCATTTCCCTTTGGCCTTTGGCCGGCCACTCTCTATTGATTAACCGGATTTCTCGGGGCTGGCCCCCAAAACAAATCTCACGTCCTCCAAGTGCCTGGCCAACAACAATGCCGGCAAATACACGAATAACAAACCAATCACCGGGGCGGATGCAAGTAGACCATGTTGCCACTGCCATTCAAGGCAGGACTCTGTTTGCACATCGCCTGCAGTAGGGGCCGGAAGTGGACAAGAGCACCGCCACTGCTGGCTAGGGTCCTGGCACCCAGCCCGCAGCTATTCCCCCCAAGCGGCTTCGACCCAGCTGAGAGGGGCAATGTCTCAGTTGCCCGTAATAATACCCTGGATTTCCTATCAGACGTTCGCATCATGTTGAGGCAACCCAACATCGTTGTCATTGTCGTCTATTTAAGGCGATTGCCTCTTACCCTTATCTCTTGCGGTGTTCTTCACGGCGCCCTTAACACGTTGTTGTCTAAACAGCCGAGAGAAACATAAACTAAAAGAATTTCAAGTGTTAGATCTCACAAATCGGGTTTAATTCACGATGCATTGCGATATATTCAACATTTAAATTATGTATTTTCACTCAGAGTTCTCATTTAGAATCGTAGCAATCCAGTTCGTGTGTGGGGCAACGTTTGTAATAACGTTTAGCCCACGCTTTGAGTATTTGACTATGCCATATAGAGAATGTATTGGAGCATTATTGCCCGGGATCACAACCTTTTGAGAAACAACATTGCCGCGAATTCCAAAGACCTGTTTAAGTCTTTGAGGAGTTGGGATACAAATTTCAGTCGACTGGATCGTTTTCCTCAAATTGGCAGAGCACCTTTGTCTCTCAACGGGTAAGACAGTCTTAAAAGTGGAGGTTAAGCCTGTTTCATTTCGCTCAACGTCTAGGACGGTGAGCTGAGGCCGAGATTGCTCCATAGAAGGTCCTCTAAGGATACAGATTGGCTTCATTACATCTGCAAAAAAGGATCTAAGTTAGAGCTTAGCGATAATGAGGAAAGTTACTCTTACTTTCAGGAATCAACTCACTGCTCAGCTTGAGCAATGCCAAATCAGTTTTGTAGATTTCCGGATGATGGTAAACCAAGTCGATTGCCATTTCTTGAAAATGCCTAAATCCCTCCACACCAACTCGCCTGAATAAAAGAATCATTAATATTCCAAAGCCACAAGAGTTGGGTGTACTTACAGAAAAGAGACATCTACGGTCAAATTGCTGGCAGTTGTGAGAACAAAGCCTGAAATAGAAAAACAAATTAAATAAAATCGCTTAATTTTCATCTAATAAAAATTTATAGAGACGGATACGAACGGTGAGTAATCATTACGCCCTTGGCCATAAAGTCGGGTCCATAAATGTTTGCCGTCAGGTATGCTTCACCACAGTCCTCGTAAAGCCGCGTCTCCTCAGCCGGCTGAATTGGGGCATCTTGTGATTCTTGTGATTCTTGTGGCTCGTCATAGGCTCGAATAAATCTCTCAATCCAGTCAGCGTAGCTTGTCACATCGGTATAATATCGGACTCCTCCGCATTTTTGTAGGCCAATGCTTACTATGCCAAGCTGTACTGGCTGCATCTCCTGATTCTGCAAGGTAACATATTTGGACAGGGGACCTCCGATATCTCCACCACAGGTGCTTTCTAATGAGGGGCCCCCGCAAAAAGTTGACTGCTCCGGGTCCCTTCCGCAGTAGATTTGATTGAAGCGCTTGATGGCGACCTCTACAAGGGTGTTACTTATTCTTCGGCCCGTTCCAAATCCCCAACCAAACGTATTGAAAGTCTGAACTATTTCAGGCCCATTCTGTAGTGTCGCATTTCGCAGAATGCAGATGGGTCGAATGCGGTCTGCGGAGCAAGGAAACACTTTAGCACGGACTCCAAAGGGATCTGAGAATACTTCACTCACCGGTGTAGGTGACACTGTTCACAAGCATCACCAAGGCAATATTATTCAGTCCACTTTCCCTGGAGTATGAACGATGGATAAAGGCTTCTTCGACAGCAACCTGAGAGGCGGGATGCCGTAAGTTATTAGCTCCCAGCATCACGATTCTGCAAGTAAAATAATAATGTTTTAGCTGTCTCTAACATAATAATACGAATTACCTAAATATAATTTATCTAATAAAAATTTAAAATATAATTGTATTTACTTCAGGAAATTAAAAATGACTCAAATGAGAATTGTACACGCCTCGCTTATTTTGATTTTAAAACGAGAGATAACACTTAATCAAAGCAGACGCGCAGATCTCTCTCACATAAATATACACTCTTATAATCTTATAATATTTATAAATACTATACTTACAAGGAACTCTGGTCTTCTATGCATTGCGCCGATGTCAAGACAAATCCTGAAATATTTTAATGAATACATTATTTCCATTTTTATATATCTACTAAAATTAATATACTAACGCCTGTGGATCAGGGAACCGGCACACACTGAGTGCGTTTCATTACGAAGGACTACGGTCCAGGCGCCATCTTTGCTGGGTGCAGAAGTCCTGCAACTCTCATCTAAAAATTGGGCATCTCCCCGGTGGCTTAGGTTCAGAATGATGAGCCAGGCAAAGCAAGCGATCCCAGCTAAAGACGTCTTCATCGCACAAAAGGTTCGAAAGTAATGCTGCACAGAATCTGAAGCCCGAAGACTGAGGGCACAGAAGTGCTTATCAGCGCTTTATTTCTCAGAAATCATCGTTATCTCTTTGAGCTTTAAATAAATTATTTCAAGACATAGGTATACATACATATTAATATAAAAAAAATCAAATATTAGAGCAAATATTATACAATTCTCAGAAATATTAGAGCAGCGTTTTAAATTTAATTGAATTCTTAGTAAATTAAGACACTAACTTGTCGTATGATGTGTTCTAAAATATGTAATAATTTCTTAAGATAAACCAAGTTTCCTTAAATAATTAACTAAATGTATGATGAGCCATTAAATTGCAATTTTGCCAATTAACACTCGAGATTTCTGTGGCTTCTTCGACTAGAGGGTTTTGGCCAAGAGCTGAATCAATAGACTATTAATAGCGTAATGGTAATTCACCGAAAATCAATGGAATTCCTGCTGGCCAACTGGCACTGCACTCACACACACACACACACACACTCGGCTGTAAATCTGCGAATCCCATTGAGCCAAATGCATTAGGCTGCATAAATATCTGCTGATGCGGACATAATTCCAGTCATGGGCGTGCACTTAGTACAGACTCGTTCATACATATGGTATGTATGGATATGTATGACTGTCAAACACTTTTGGCTTTTGCCTTTCGACCAAACGGCTTTTACCCGGCCACAGAATCGCACATAAAGAGACGACACCGAGAGCAGCAGGACGAGGCTTTGGCCTTACTCAGCACTGGAGGATGCAATTTTATTATTTTAGCTGGTTGTCATGTTACCCAGAGATAACAAATTCGTTTACGATAATTTCAGTTAGTTTACAGCCAGGACAACCAAAAGAGGGCCATTCGACTGTCGGCGAATCCTTTGTCTGACTGCAGATCGTTAGTGAGTTTTATGGCAGCACACAGGAATAGGACCTTGATTACGGAACTCTCTCGGAGCTTTAAATTCTAAAATGAAATTTAGCAAGTTCCCCCGGCATACATTTCGCAGCTGAAACTTAAACTTCGGTTTCTTGTTTGTCAATTGTTCGCAAATTATGCGAACATTTCGCTGCCTTTCACGTAGTTTGGCCATAAAATTTCAGTCAATTTAATTTCCAGCATTTGTTTTACATACATATTTATGTGGAGGCACGTGCCGGCCCGTCAGACTGTCTGTCTATTCCACACTTCTGGCTGTCATCTGGCCAACCGACAAGGGTAAGGATTCTCTCCGGCAGAAGACAGCCAGTCAAGGGCGACCCTCTGACCGCATTTGTCGTTGTTCGGGAATTTTCAGTCATGTTTTTTAGTGGAGAAATTAAAGCAAACATGGGCGAACTCATGTTGAGAATTGTAAGGACAGGGCAAATGGATATTTTCACAGTCGATGGTACACTGCCAGATGTTTAGGAAATTGAAACTCGATGGATATTCAAGGGATTTTTATCAAAGGTTATTATTATAGATAAAACTTTACATTTAAATGTAGAGAATGAGTCAGTAAGGTTCTATCTTAATATTCAAAATAGATATTATTTAATTTCCATCATCCCGGTTGCTGTGATTTGAATTCTGCCATTGCTGCTGGTGCAATCATGATGCCGGAAGTTAGTTAGCAACATACGAGTTTATAAAATTACACATTGTTGACACTGCGAACAAAGATGGAAGAAGAAGTCGTCGGGAGCGTGACTTGACTGGAAACTTGGAGGCAAACTAACCAACTGGTAGTTCTCGGCTAATATGCAAAAGTCACACAAGTCCAACTGTGGACACGTACGGTGGCTGCTTCTGCTAGGTCTATATACAAGGTAGAATACATACATATGTATGTATATGCCATGTTTAACTGGAGAATCGCGCATGAATAAACACCGAGCCCAGCTGCACTCGCCTCACCTGGAAGGGCAAGGACCGGCATAAAAGTCCATTCTCCTTGGTAATATATAAATTGTTGTGAAAATGAGAAAGGCAGCGGCTGCTGTTTGTATTGTTAATGAAGTCGCCTTTGGCCCTTCAACTACATGTTCTTTTGTTTGATTTGTTGCCAGAGAAGTTCGGAATTTATTTGCTTAAAAACTGCCTTTAAAGGTACTTTTACCCCATCAACGCTGCCATTTATCAGTATTTTCCTAAGCAGGACTAACATACAAAAGCAAATGTGTACAACTTTTTATGGAGTTGCACTCCGGCCACGTACTTTATTGAATTTTCTAGCCATTTCTCAATCGTCTGGTCAAGAGATTTTTTTAAAAAACGGAAAAGCAGGTTAAGTTAGGTTAGTTAAAAGTTAAAATTGCGAAAAGAACTTGTCTTGTGTGACTAGCGCATTAAATTACAAGTTCTTTTGTACTTTTAAAATATAAAAAAAAATATTTAAGCATAAAAATATACATGTTAATAACAAACTGCATTTTAATTAATCATAATAACACTTTGATTTACTTTCATGCCTTTCTGGAGTTATTTGAATCGCAGTCTGGACTCCTTTTTTGCCCGCTGCTAAACAGCTGTCGCTAATTGAAACAAATGAAATAATGAAGGCAATAAAACAACCAACTTTGACTTGAATTGTTCATAAACCAACATAGAAAAGTTCCCCCTGACCCTGCACATTCAACAATTCATTTCCGCTCCGCTGCTCGCCACTGCAGACCCAACTGAAGCCCAAGCCCCAACCAAAAATATGTAGGTCCAAACTTAACTGCTTCCCCTGGAGGTTCTCTGCTCCGAGTTTCGAGTTCCTAGTCCCTAGTCCTTGGTCCTGCCGTCCGTCTGCGGCTGTCTGCGGCCTGTTGTGAAGTATGCCAGGAGCCATAAAGTGAACAGCGGGAGCTTTTCACTCTTATTCGCTTATATTTTTTTTTCTGCTATTTTGTTTTATTGTTGTTTTCTTTGTTTTATTTTTACCTATTATTTTTTTGCATAATTAAAAGCAATTTAGTGTAGCCCCGCCACTTGAGGACAAGCACATGGGGCCACTTGTTGGCAAGATGGGGCCAAGTTGCGTCAGTTCTTTAGCCCTGAAACATCCAATGAAATTAGTCATACAAGTCGGTCATGGAATGGCAGGGAGTCTCCATTAATTAGCACAGGTCCTTGAATGTAAAAAACCCGTACTGAGCTGAGAGAATAAAAATGCTAAGGAAATACATTTTCATTAAGCAGTTGGACACATAAATTCTTAATGTAATAAATTTAAATATTCACAAGAAATGGTAAACATCAAAGGGAATTTTCCACTTAAAGTAAGAAAGGCCAACAGTTAATGGCATAAATTCAAATTAACCAATTAAAAACTAATTAAAGTATTTGTAAGTCCATTAGTTTGCATAAATTTAATTTTCTTACTCTCTGCAAGTATGAAATTTGTGTTCCGTAAACCAAATAACAAATTATTTCATTTTCATAGATATGAATGCAACTTTTGAGCCGGGTGTCATACTTTCTGACAGGTGCCGTCACACTTTATGACAATTTTATGCATTCCATTTAAATTGAAGGACAGCCGGATGGGGCTTTGCCGAGCTGAAAATGCAGGATTGGACTAGCAAACAGGACCTTATCAATTGTTTATGCAGCCAAGGAGCTGGGCTCTGGAATTACAGGCATTTAACTAATTTGCAGGTGTGCGGATGACATTTCAATTGTGCCCTGGGTCTCGGGTGGCCAGACACACCTGGGCCTTACCTACGACTTTACCATTACATTTGCAATGTGTTGGTTGGGCCCACAAATTAAACGATAATTGTGCAGCAACTAAAGTCGTTGACATCCTTCGGTTTGCTCTCCAGTGCCAGGGATATTTGCTTAAATGTCGCAATATCCTGTGCCAGTCCCCCGCATCCTGCACTCTCGCCCGGAGGCCCTTGGCAGTGCGTGCAAGTACAAGTCTCGCAGATGAATTAAAAAAGGGCTGCAGCCCCCCAACGCCCGGCTATTAAAAATGAATATTCCGATGGAACGGGCTTAACCAGACAACAGGCGACGCTTAACCATTGTCTAAGCACTGCAGGCAAAATGTCAGGAAGCGGCAGCAGAAAGCGTTCGCAGTGGCAACAGAACGACGCCCGGAGCGTTTACACCAATTCATTGGACTCCCTCCATAAAAACAAAAGAAGGAAAAATAGTATAAAAAAAAGGGAAAACAAAGTGCAAAATAGAAAAGAGGAATGTTGACTGAAATAGAAAATATAAAAAGACATAAAACAAGGGATGAATATCTAGAACAAAAGCCAAATCAAACGTTGCACTGTTATATTAAATATCAAAGCATATTATTATACTTATGCAAATATATAATTTAAGATTTACTTATAAGTTTTAAGCAAACAAATTACTATTTTATAACTTAATTTTATTTATTTGTAGAAAAATCAATCCTCAATCCTTTGGCTATCTTACCTTAAATCTTATGAGACTAAAAGTATTTAATTATTTCTTAGATTATCTTTGCTGATACATCACTACTATTTGTGTCACATCTGACCCGATCAACGTTACCCAGTTATTTGGGTTAAAAATATGTTTAAAGCTCAACCAAGTGAGCCCATGAACAATGGAATGTCAGCACGATGTCTCCCGGGGGCCCAAGGATGACAGTGCAGCTGACAGTTCGACAGGCTGCAGAGCCAACCTGCGGTCACCTGTGCCATCCGCCCCAATGGCACTCCCGTCTGTGGCCACATTTATTTACCTTCTTCTAGCCGATGGGATTTGGCCACACTGTGTAAATATGTAAGGTCCCTCTCCAGCTCCAGCTCCAGCTCATCCCCCGGCTGTCCTTCCATGTGTCCGCCTGCCAGCCCCAACTGCCGCCGCAGGCAGGTGAGGCAATTTTACAGCAGTTGATTGCTGACTGAAACTAGTACTTCGGGGGCCCGGCCGATTCGCCTTTGATGTTCTACCTGGGGCAGGTAAACAGAGCGTCAAGTGCCCGATATGAGGGTGCTGTGATCCCATGGTCATGCGGACAAATTGTTGACCAGTTCCATTAATAGAGGAAATAAGGGTATCTTAAAGATTGCAGCAAAAATGTGATAATAAACAAGTAAGAAATCGATAATAATAACACATCATCGGCTTT